AAAAAAAAAAAAAAAAAAAAAAAAACAAATAATAATAATAATAATGGATGGACGGATGGGCGATTATACAGGATGGATGAGTTGAAATTTACCCTAATCCATGGCCACAATTACAATTAACTCACACTACCACAGGGACCGATAGAAAGTACCAGTCAACAACAGCAAGGTACAATATCAAGATCGTCTAATTTCATGATGCCAGCAATAATACATTTTATATACTTGCCTTTCCTGTGCGTCCTGTTTGTGCCCAACACCATGCTCCTAAGCGGCTTATATGACCATGATCATTGCCAATGGAGCGAATTACTGTCATAACAACTGAAGTCCCTGCAAAAGTGTTTAAACAAAAGAATAGGAAGACAAAAAATGGAAGTTAAGGACTTCCCCACAATAGAGTACTAAATAGGAAATACTTTACATAAAAGAATAAGCATACCCCAGACATACAGATGAAACATTGGCTCTAAATCCTCCACATCAGTTTTATGTCTAACAACTGTTCTGTGCAAAGTGAAAGCGATTGTCGTTGTCCATAGAAAAGAAGCAACACAAAAGAAATGTGTTGTGTAACCCTGAGCATAACAAAAGTATCCTTTAGAAGGATCCCTGCATATAACACATTCATTTTAGAGGTAAAAAATTGGCAGATGCAATTCCCATTGTTCAAAGAGAGTGCCTGGTTTCATCTGATTTTCATTGTAGGCAAGTGCATACCCAATGATGCTGAAGAAACTGCAGAACATATCCTGCAACAGACGTAGGAACTTTATTTCACGTTCTTCACTTTACGAACAAGAAACTCTCCAAGAAGAATCCAAAAACATAGTACTTATAAGAACTTCTAGTTACTGGAAAAGTAGTTAAGAATATCAAAATATTTCAGCATTAGGACGTCCAAAAGCCACCAAATTATTTCTTAAAGTCAAGTAATAAAATCAAAATGATTCAGCCTCTAGACATCCACAAGAAAATGCCATCATGAGTATAGAAATTACTTCAGTTCCAGCAGATTGCAACACATAATTTCCTTTTTCGGCAGCAGCACAAACACACATTAATCATTCAAGATTAGTCATGTGTAATCAACAAGGATTCCCTATGTCATTGAATAAAATAAACGCCAAACGGAAATCAAAGCATTCAATGCCGCAGGTACTTAGGAAACGATTTACACACTGCACAAGGATTGAAGCTACAGAAATGCAAAGCAAAATGATGTCCCATCCTCAAATGTCTCAAACGAGTAGCCAACTAACCACAAACTTCACCACAACTGCAGGATCACTATCTATTCAGTTCACACTGCTTCCCGACCTAACGTAACTTGCTTGGGAAGAAAATAAAGCTACAAAAATACAAAGAACAAAAATAGAGATAAAAGAGGAAAAAAAGTGTGTGCCAATACTTACAGAGAGAGCGAGGAAGAAGACAAGCTTGAAGGAGAACTTGCGGAGGTCTTTGAAGAGTAAGTAGCAGAGGACTATGAAAGCAGAACCCACAAGCGAGAGACTGGAGGCACCAGTGTTGATGGCGGCCAGAACCCCTCTTTCCGCGGCCGTCAAGCTCCCCACAACCGCCTGCCCCGTCGCCATTTTTCCTGAAAAAAAACAGTTCCAGAAAAATATGGATTTCCAGCCGTCGAAGAAACTCCATTTCTGAGCACACCTTTGCGATCTGAGGCTATGATCGGGTACTTAAATGTTTAAATGGTTTTAAATACAAAGAAGTCGCTTTGGCCGAGTGGTTAAGGCGTGTGCCTGCTAAGTACATGGGGTTTCCCCGCGAGAGTTCGAATCTCTCAGGCGACGTAAAGTTTTTTTTCTGGTTTATTAACCCATTTTCCAAGCATTCATTTGAATTGAATAGTTGATTTTTTTCTTTCTTTTTTTAATAATTTAGCCATTTCTCAATCTATAGACTATCAAGTATCCATATTGTTGGTAAATAACTAAATATATTTAAAGGCACCGAACTATAAGTTAACTTTTAGTCAATGTACATTAGATGCTTGGGCTCATGCCTCGCTTGTTATGGCTATTCGTAGCATGATTCAAAGGGACAGGAGTATCTATATCCAACACGTTTATAGGGAAGTTAATTTTGCAGCGGACCACATAACGAGTTTAGCGTCTTCATTTCCTCTCGGGTTGCAGCGAGTGTCCTCTCCTCCTTCAGGAATGGGAGTGTACCTTGATCATGATATTATTGGGGTGTCTTACCCCCGTCGAGTCCTAGTCTAATAGCATTGGGTCTCCGACCTCTTTTATTGTACCGAAAAAAAAAAGGTGCATTAGATGCTTGTACATTTGGGCGGGTGGATTTCAATCCGAGCAACACAATCCCAACAAAATAATTGTGACTTGTGAGTAATTTATGAGTTAGTTCTTAGCTGCTGATGGATGATGGGTTTGTACAAGCACTAACATCAAAAGCTACACCACATATATATCCACTTCTCATTTTACATCACTGAACAAAAGTAATTATGTTCACAACCAAAACTACCTAAACAAGTTTATGAGATAAGCTCAAACTTTTTTAAAAATCTCGTTTTACCAAACGAGACTTATTTGAATACAAGAATCTTATAAGCTAACTAAATAAACTATAAGCTAACTTATTTGGCTACCAAACAAAATAAAATTATTGGTGAAAGAATGAGAGTATCTAACATCCCCCTATATATTAATTGAGAGCGTGTGGAGCCTATGTGGTAGGCTCGCATGCTTCGGGATCTTATGTGGCAAAAATACATGCTTCGTTATTAGGCTTGGGTAGATTTAGTTTACTTCTAATCCAAATATATTTAGGTTCGGATTATCTATAATATGTTGATTATTTATGGTAAGGGTGAACGCCGGCCGGGACAGTCTTGGATTTGACTTGTCCGGATACCCATCCCACTTTTATGAATCCGTCCATGAACGAGGCACCGTCGCCACCCATGTAATACATGGGTGTTGTACTAGTTTCTTTTAATACAAAACTTAAAAAAATACTACAAGTACATAATAAATGTACATATAGGTGTACACATTAGCGTAACTATTAGGAGATCAGTGTGGGCTGAATTTTTCAAAAAAAAAATTAAAGAGCATCTAATTTTAGGCTATTAATGAAAGATTTATACTTGCATGAGTAATTGTATTAGGGAAAATATACTGAACCATACAATATATTACCTATCTCTATGGTATAAAGTGGCCTAATTTTTATCTCTCCATCATTAATCATTTTTTTTATTTTTGAGAATAAACATTATTTATCCTATTTCAATTAGATTTGAACTTGATATATACTTGATTAATTACTTAATGTAACTTCTAGTAAGAAAACAGTTTACAAATATTTTCTATTTGTGTTAATTCATTATTGTTAATTTTATTCAATAATTTTTAGTCGAATTAATATTTTATATAAATACATATATACCTCCACATAAACCATTTTAAATTATATTTATGACTTTAATAGTTAATCTACTTTATTAGAAATTAAACAAAAGAAAAGGAGAACATCGATGGAATATAATTTTTTTTTCGTTTCTTTGCATTCTATCAATTTCCCGTTGAATCTACGAAATAACAAAAAAATAATATTTGATTCACTAGCATACTTCTACCTAGCATTAAATCACATTAATTTTAATTATTACATTTTTATTTTGTATTCATTTACAATCTAAAATCTATTCTATTTTTTATTTCATTTCTATTTTCAGATCAATCAAGATTTTTGAATTTTTTTAATATACAATTGCAATTTTATTTTATAATTGAGATAATTAGTTCAAAAATAATATATGCCCCCACTCATATAAATTTCTAGATCCGCCCCTGAGTGTACATAACACTCAAATGAAGTAGAGTCCACTTGATTTTTTATTTTGATCGGTCCTACTCAATGTGAGTGTTATGTACATCCTATGTATAATATTATGTACATATCAACTAATTGAGTAAATTATAAGTTATTTGAATTTTTTATTCCCTTCGCTATCATGCATATCCTATCAATTAGTAGTATTAAATAAAGTAGTGTATCAACTAGCTATGGATAAAGCAACAAACAAGAGTAGATAAGTTCTCTAGGTCATACAAACAAGTGACGCTAAGATCAGTGCATTAATTGGTAGTTAAAAGCCAATTGTTCTCACCGGAAATTAAGCAAAAGTGAGTCTGTTGACCGATTAATTAGCTGGGACAATTATGACGAAACGTGTCCAGACAGCTTCTCAAGCAATAATAATTTACTCCATTAATTTTGGATGAGTGGATGACGATGTTCAGGATAAGACCTAACTTCTTTATCCAACCAATATTTTTTTTTTTCCATTTTCTTTTCCGAAAAAATATATCCTTTGCACTGAGAATATTCAGTTCTATTCTTTCCCCTTTTTTCGTCGTTATTATTCTTAAAATCCTTAAATCCGACATAAATAAACCATATTTCTAATATATAAATATAAATAGAATATGAATACATGTTTCTTCATTTCTTTCACTCTGTAAATACTCCCCTTTTGTTCTCTCTTCTGCTCAGATCTCAGCTTCCATGGCAAATTTCCAGTTTTCTCTTTGAAGAACAAAATATTTACCTTTTCTGAAACCGAGAACAATACTGGTAATCTGTCTTTTCTGAGGTTTTTTGCAAACCCTTTTTTTCAATTTTAAATAATAGAAAATGCCCACAAGAGTTTTGAACAGTGGTGGGATTGAAGCAGGTGGAGTTTTTATAGAGAGAAGGGTTGTGTTTAAAGATGCTGAGGAAAATGGGTTATTTAAAAATACAGTAATTCAGAATAATTATAGTTATTCAGAGTCATCATCATCTATTGGGAAAAACAGCGATCTTTCTGAGAAATCAGAAGATGGTGAGGAGGTACAGAGTACGTATAACAAAGGGGCCTTGGACGCTATGGATGCTTTAGAGGAAGTCTTGCCAATTAGGTAAAAGTTCTCTTCTTTAGTTTATTGTTTTTTATTTTAATTTTGCATCTGAATTTTCCCGATTTTTTATTTTTATTTTTATTTTTTGTTATGGTTATGGCCTTATGGGTGTGAAGTGTAATTCTGGATTTGTGTTGCATGATCTTTAATTTTGTGTGCAAATCTTGTCTTGATCACTTTTTATGATCCTCTCTTGGGCAAAGATGGGAACTTTTTGGTTCATGTTTCCAGTAAGCAGCCAGGATTGTTTGTTTGTTTTGTTGTATTATACTAGGGCAAAAACGTGGAGTTTGCTTTGTTTGACATTTCATTTTGCTTTCTAATGTATAGCATTTGGAGATTTTTCATAGTTTTCACATGGATTTTTTCTTCTAAATAACAGAATAGATTCAAAGTAGTGGAGTGTGTTCTGTTCTGCATTTCGTTCATTGTTATGAAGTTGCAACAGCTGCTAGGAAATTGAACTCATACACATCTGGCTGACTATAGGATGATTCTTTTTTCTCTTTCTTTTATTTTTTTAGTTCAGATAATCGAATCAAAATGAAAGTATTCGGCGAATCGTTTTATTCTGTTATTTATGTCATGCATTCATAAATTGAGTGAGAGTTAGCCGGTAATATGTTAGGTGAAAGTTGAAACATTTTTCGCAAGTAGCCTCACAGTCACGAATCATCGACTTAAATCTGACAAAAAAATGCAGACGGGGGATCTCAAGTTTTTACAATGGAAAATCAAAGTCCTTTGCCAGCCTGGCGCACGCATCATCATTCTCATCCTCCATAAAGGACATCGCCAAGCCCGACAATGTATATGCCCGAAAACGTCGAAACCTACTCTCTTGCAGCCTCAACTGGGAAAACAAGAACCGTAAACCATCTTGTCTTGGAAGTAACTGTGGCGGAATATCCAAAAAAACCGCTAGTTCAAGCCGGACAACATTGGCATTGGGCGTGGCCATGAGCGAAAAAGACTCGGATGTTGGCAAAAGGGGCGGTGGGGGCAAGTTGGGTATTTCACCATGGAGATCATTCTCCCTGGCGGATTTGCAGCATTGCGTCTCGGTTGGAAAAAATAGTTGTAGCCCGATTTCAGAATGTCAACTAGAGTTTGCAGGTTAATCTAATCGATGTTGGTTAATGCTGTTTTGAAGATGTTGAACTCTTTTATCTTTAAGCTGATAAAAGATGTTAAAAGTACATGGAGATATTATGTTTTCTGGCTTTTTCTTAGCTTTTCCTATTTTGTGCCATACTTTCCATTGTTTTACCATGAATTTGTTGCATACTCCAAATTTATGGTTATCCATAACGTTAAGAGGTAAGAACCTCAGAATAGTTGAAATAAACTGATAAGCTTGTTAAGTGTAGCCACAATAAGGATGCCACATCCAAAAGTACCTAACCATTTAGATACCAGTAGACCACAAAAACTTAATTCATACTAATATATATACAAGGTACAATTTTCTTCCATATTCATCTGCCTTCAAGACAATGAGCCAAAAATCTCCAAGGCAAATGGTCCCACAAAGCCCAAAGTACCATAACACACCCCTATCACAGTTTCATTCCAAATGGACCAAACCATTACAGTCTCACCATAAATTGGTGTCCACATTACAAAACACCCTTTAAGTTCTACCGATACCAATTAAGAGCTACAATAACAACTCCTCAACCACTATCTTACAATAATTTTTTTTTTCTAAATTAGGGATTATTTTCCATCTTCTACTACACACCCTCAAACACTGTTCTGAGAAATCACCTCCCCAAACTTAAGGAAAAGCTGCGCATCCGAGGTGCTTACAGACGAGCAGTTAACCAAGTGAGGTGCTTTTAGATTCGCATACTCGTCTACATAACACTGGACTTTACCTGACTGGAGGAGGAGTGGAGCAGGCGTGCCAAACGGCTTACCATTATCAGGCTCAGTGACAGGTGGCACCATTGATCCAAGGACTCGTACAACCTCATGCATGCTCGGCCGCTCGGTTGGCTGTCGTTTGGTGCACAAAAGTGCCAGCTGGAACACCTTCTTCACCTCCCCGAGATCCTTGCACGTTTCCAATATCTCAGGGTCCACCGTATCCATAACTGAGTTGCTCGCCGCCTTGTTCAGTATCTTCAGTTAAAACAAAAGAAATCAATAAAACTAATTATCAAGAATTAATACCAAGAAAATCACAAAAAACCGACCATATGATGGAGATTTGACTCGTTGTCCACGGGTTTCCACCCGGTGAGCAACTCCAAAAGAACGATCCCGTAACTGTAGACATCGGATTTTTCGGTCAGACGAGAAGTTCGAGCGTACTCCGGGTCAATATAACCAATTGTTCCCATGAGGTAAGTCGAGGTGTGGGTCTTGGATGGGCACAGCCTCTTTGCAATGCCGAAATCCGTGAGGTGGGCCTCGAAATCCCTGTCCAGCAAAATATTGGAGGACTTCACGTCTCGATGGATGATTCGTGGGCTGCAGTCATGGTGGAGATAGGCAAGCCCCTGCCCTGCACCCACTGCTATGCGAAGCCGGGTCGTCCAGTCGAGTTTCTTCTTTTTACTTGTCCCTGCAATTTATTTTAACCAAATAATAAGTTTATGTTAGTAGTTTGGAGTTAGACTGAACCTTGTGTTACCAAAAAAAAAAATGCATAATGAAGCTTTACTACCATGTAGGAGGTCCCACAAGCTTCCGTTTTCCATGTAATCGTAAAACAGGAGGTTTCCGGAAGGTGAAAGGGAATATCCTTGTAGGCCGACTAGATTCCGGTGTTTGATACTCCCGACTGTTTCCAACTCAGTTTCGAATTCTTTCAGGCAATGTGTGTGGGAGTAGAGTTTCTTGACAGCAACTGGCCTGCAATTTTTGAGCACGCATTTGTAGACAGTGCTCGATGCTCCATAACCGATTATGTACTTCTCACTCAAATTCTCAGTCATTCTCATGATGTCCTCGTACACATGGAGTGCCATGTTCATGTGAAGGATAACGAGCTTTGGTGACGAGTAACTAACTGGTATGTGTAACATGTGTCGTGAGACATTATTTCGGAAAATGAATCTTAGCATTAGCTCAAGCTTGGATAAATGAAGGTGAAAAACTGTACAAGTTCAAAGACATATACATACCTGGTTTGTTGAGTGGGCTATCGATAAACAATTTTGGGTTGTTTGGCCGACAAGCAGCAATCAATATCATAAGAAGAACAACCAAGGAGCCCAGAGCTATTCCAAGTATAGCTGCTTTAGGAATTGAAACTGTAAAAATGTACATGACCGAGGGGAAAAAAAACACTAAATATTAGTATACATCATTATTTTATTTTTAAAAGCACTACAGATAATGATATAACATTTCTATGAGATGTCGAACGAACCTCGCTCAGCTGTGCGGGCTTGATGACACGAAGAACTCAACCAATAGCCACAAAGACCTGGGTTGCCCAAGAAACTGAAAAAGGGAAAGAGAAAAAAGGCAAACTTTAATGAAAATGAATCGTCTTAGAGATAAGGACTAAAAAAAAATAATCGAAACTCGTACCTGTCGGGGGGAAACCGAGAGAAGTTATTTCCGGAAGGAATATAACCAACAAGGTTGTTATATGATACATTCCTGAACCAACATAAAAGTATTAGGTTCCAAATCCATTTCTATTATCATATGGACCGCATTCGTAAAAAGTTGCAAGTATCGGTTTGAAAAATGTTGGTAAGTGTACTTACAGTACTGTGAGACTGAGACAACCGGCAAGAGACATTACATCACCCGATATGTTGTTTCTTTCCAGATTCCTGTCATTGTTTATGCAAAAATAGTAAATTTTACTTGTCAGAAAATGAGATTATTTCATCAATTAGAATGCTAACTAGAGTGTTAATTTTAAGCTCTTACAACAAGAAAACATTCTGAAGCTGGGCAAGTTCCGGTGGGATTGAACCTGATAGGTGGTTATTTGAAAGATCTCTGCAATAAACGGATATAATTAGAAAAAGAATGGTGACGTGACCCAAAACAAAGGCCTAAAGAAAAAATGATCCAACTTTTAGACAAAAGAGTTTATTTCTTACATTTCCATTACACTTCTCAAGTTGCTAAACTCCGCAGGTATAAACCCGGTCAATCCATTGTGGCTCAAATTACTGTCAAAATGTTAACAATTGTTAAGTATTAAAGAAATGGGACTGAAAAAAATCTGAAATACCAGAAACTCACAGTTTTAGGAGATGTTCCAAGTCGCCAAGAGAAGCCGGCATAGAACCACTGAGCTTATTGTTTGAGAGGTCCCTGGTTTTCCCAAACATTTATTATAAAAAAGAAAAATTAGAGTATTTCGATTGTTTATAATAACATGATATATAATAGAACCAGCATCAAAATGATAATCGACCACTTACAAAGTGTCCAGGTTGCCAATCCGAGATAGCTCTATAGGAATGGGTCCCCTGAGATTGTTGGAGGATAGGTTCCTACAAAAATTTATTAAACACAAGAGTTCAGTGAAGTCCATGAAAAATCTTAAACTATACAATACATAACATTTGTAAATAAAACTGTGGAAACTCACAAATAGGTCATGCTTTCCAACTTCTGAAATGATCGGGGTACACTTCCATTCAATTTGTTTCCATGCGCATTGCTGTTGCAGAAAAATAAAATGATAACCATCTGCATATGCATTACTAAAAATAAAGATATGTGTAAAAGAAAACAAGCTTCTCACAGGCTATTGAGATTTGTACAAGAGCTAAGATTATCTGGTATAGGCCCCTCCAAGCGATTGTTTGCTACATTTCTGCAAGTACAAGAATGGCAACTTGACTTTGCAGCTCAAGATTAATAAGAATTTTTGAAAAATATATTCATATTTGTGATGTAAAAACATACAGGTCGAACAAATCAGTGAGCTTTCCAAGTTCGGGAGGAATACGCCCAGTGAGGAGATTATCATTCAGTTCCCTAAAGAAAGGATAATAGAAATGCACATAAAAAATGCATTTCAAGTGGTGTTAAAACAAAGGAAAAAGAAAAAAGAATGATGAGACTCCAACGAAACTGCATACAGGTAGTGCAATTTTGTCATATTTCCAAGCTCAGCAGGTATTGACCCAGTTAACTTGTTCCCATGAAGATATCTGCAAGAAAAGATGATCGCTGATTGTTTATTCTAAAATTCAACATATAAATACACAACATGCACATGGAACTAATACACATTTGATTTCATATTGTTAAAGAAATACAGGGGTACAGTACAACTAATAATCTTTCGCAGACTTAACTACTTGTCCTTAAAGAAGCAAACTTCCAATACTTACAGTTTCTCTGTGTAAGTCAAATTTCCAAGAATTGGTGGGATTGTGCCACTCAACATGTTGAAGCTTAGATCTCTGCAAATTTAAGATTTACAACATGCAATGAATTTTGAGACCCAAGTGTTAAGAACTCAAGCCATAAAGCAACAGAAATAATCAAAATAAAGAACTTACAACACGGCAAGTGCCTGCATCAGGCCAATGACTGTTGGGATTTGCCCAGAAAAACAGTTATTCTGCAAGGACCTAAATGCAAAAGAATAGAATACGGAGTTCATTGTTGAACAATAAAAATAGAATTTTAAGAGTTATGGAAATTTAAAGAAACACGTACAGCGTAGCAACTTGGAGAAACCCAATATTGAATGGGATCTCCCCAGTAAAATTGTTGTACGACAGGTCCCTGTCATCCATTAAATTCATTCTTAATTTAACTTTATCAACTATAGTTTAATTCAGTACAAGAATTCGGTCAGATACATACAAAACCTGAAAGGCAGTGCAGTTTCCTATACTTTCCGGAATCGAACCACTCAAGCTATTGTTTCTAACATCACTGACACACAAACGACACATACTAGTTAGTAAAGCCCTTACTAGCATAAAAAGGCTGCTAAAACAGGCACTCAAGAAAAGGAAAAAGTTAAAAACATACAAATACCACAAGCCGGTTAGCTGACACATATCAGGAGAGAGAGAGCCTTGTAGGTTGTTTCCCCGCAACCCCCTAAGCATGAAAAGCAACACAAAAAAGTTCCTTAAGATTACAAATAACTTTATAGAATCAAATTTAAAATGAAGCTAAAGTTTTCAGACCACTCGCACTCACAAGTATTGCAAAACCTCATTCCAATATAATAGTCTCGGTATTTCTCCACATAACTTGTTCTGAGCCATGTCCCTACAGTATCAACAATTTGAATAGACTTCACACTCAGAACATTCACGATAACATACATTGTAATTGAAATAAAGTGAGAGATACTGATAATACTCACAATATTTTCAGGTTAGGAATCTGAGAGAGTGTTGAGGGAATCGGACCAATCAATTGATTATTTTTCAAAATCCTGCCAACACAAAAAAAATGTGAAGGTAGTAAGCTACTTCTAATACAAATGTCAGGACACTCGAAATACCACACTTCCGGTTTCAACTTACAAGTTTTCAAGCTGCTTCAACTTTGAAATCGAGAAAGGGATATCACCATATAGCTCGTTGAACGACAAATCCCTGATAGATATGCAATCAGTATTCAAACTAATCCAACGAAAAATGTCACCACACAAACATTACAGATAAAATTATGGACTTCCTCAATTTTCCAAAATTATGTGGCTAAAGTGGACTTACAAACTATTCAAGGCTGAGCAGTCTCCAATCTCATCTGGGATTTGCCCTGACAGCTTATTACCCCTCAAATCACTGTTTTAATAAACACAACCATCACAATTTATATAAGACCTCCAAATTCTAATATTTTCAGAAAAAAAATAATGAAAAATTATTTTGTTTGAGAGAAGGAAACAGTTTACATGGAGACCAGGCCTTTCAGCTGTCCAATTGCAGGTGAAATTTCTCCTTCAAGGTTCAATCCTGAAAGATTACTGAAATATGGGTCCATGATTAACTATACTTAATTTCAAAACATTCTAATCTCTCACAGAAATTATTCAGCAATTATTATGGAAGTATTTTCAAACTAACAAGCTACAAAAAATAAATAAGAAACCCCTTTCCATTTCTTTATCAAGCTAGAAGCTAGAATCACACTACAGCGGAATTTGATAAATGCACTGACAAAAGCCAATTTAATGCAAAAGCAATGAAAATGAGTGGAATTGGGAAGCATACAGGGCAGCAACATTGAAGGTGACGTTATCACACGTTATCCCTCTCCAAGCACAGTAATCTGAAGATGGGGAATCAGTCCAGTCATACAGCACATTATCCACATCTCTGAATGATTTCTTCATCTCCAGCAAAATAGACCCTTTTTCAGCAAAATAAAAAATAATTAAATTAAAGTGAGTAATGAACAAGTTTAAGGGTTGCTAATAAGACAGGGGTACCGGATTTTAGCTGGGACAGTGACGTGATTATGAAAATAAAGACAAAACAAACTGAAACTTCTTTTGAAAAGTAAAATAGTAATTAAATGATTAAAATACTAGCTCCAAAATCTACACTCCAAAATAAGCCAAGAACAAGTTTTTCTCTTTTTCCTCCCCAAAAGAGAGCCAAACCCACCAACCACTCACCATCATCGCCGCAGTCCACACCGGTAAATCTCAAAAGCAAGACGAGAAACCCAGCAAGAACACATTTTTCCCAACAATTAGCCATATCCCACTTCTCATAAATTATAAACAAGCAGACCCACTTGACAAAAACTATACTTGCTTCAAATAAGTAGGAACACGCTGTACACGAGTGAAACAGGGGGGTATTCAAAAAAGGGCCACCGACATAAATATCAATGTGGAGGAGGAAAATGAAGAAGAAGAGGAATAAATTGCAAGAAAAAAGAAATCTTGTGAAGGATTATGAAGAGGTGTGCTAGGAGAAAAAAGAAAGAGCAGAGGCTCTGGGGCTTTGTAATGTTCAATCACATCGTCCTCTGGCAGAGAGCCTCGCCTTGCAAAATGTGTGTGAGAGAGGGTGAGAGAGAGTGTGTGTAAATGCTGCATGTATAAGTAAATGTAGAGAGAGAGAAAGGGAATTATTTAAAGAGGGGAAAAGGTTAAAAGACCATCTGCCAAGGTTCTGATACTAACAGCCCAGCCCTGCAACAATACGATACACAGCTCTCACTTGACAGTTTTTCTCTCTCATCACTAATACCACACTCTCTCTCTCTCACTTCCTCTCTCTCTCTCCACCTCTGCATACCAATAAACTATCTGTAAATGGATGCCTCAAACCTTTTATGTCAGGATTCATTCATTTTCACTTTAATTTTCAGATAGGAAATTTTGTTTTTCTTTTTTCTTTTCACTCTGTCCACATGGAGTATAAGATAAGAGTACACTTTGAAGTGTAAATTAATCGACTCGAGTTCGGATTCGAGCCTTGTCGAGCTCGGCTTATTAACGAGATGAGCAGATAAATAAACTCAAGCTTTGCTCCTTTGTCGATAGTAACCCATTGAATTAAAACTTTGACAATTGGGGCTATAAAAAGCTCAAGCCTTTTAACTAAATGAAATTTAAATAAACTCAAATTTGGCCTTAACAGGTTAAGTGGGGCTCAGATTTTAACTAATTGAGTTTACAAGCGGCTTATTTTGTTGAATAGTTGCATTTTTTAAAATTTTAACACAAATGCCTCTATTGATGCAATAAAAGTTGCATCTTTTTTAAATTTGATTTTCCTGTTTTTTTAGTCTTGCAGACACATAACAAGTCACTGTTGATCACAGGAAGATGAAAGCAAAAGCCAGCAATCAGTATTTCCTTTCCGCAGTTAACAATTCTAACACTTTTTCTACCTCATGGGCAAAACTATTTACATTTTGGTGTAAAGTTCATATCATGCACATGTAGCTAGGAAACTGCATATAGTAATATAAATACTTTTCATCTCTTCTATTTTGTCCAACCCCCATAAAAAGATTAAATTCGTTTGGTAAAAATTTTGAATCTTTTCACATTTTTGTACGATTTTCTCGTTATGGGGCTATGCTTGTGCAAATCTGTTTTCACCATTTAGTCCTTCTCAGAAAAAGAAAGGCATGTGCTTAAATGATTGACAACAATTATGGTTTACAATTGCTTTTTCTACCTGCAAATTTACTTTTATGTTGACATAACATAATTTGTAAAAATACAATCTTTCAACCTACTTAAATGCACGGACGTGAGTCCTTATCGAATTGAACTTGGTTCGACTAGTTAAGTTAATGAACTAATAAACAAGCTCGAACTCTGCCCGTTGATAGATCGAGCATCAACAAGTCGAATTATTTAAAAATTAAAATGAAATAAATTAAAAACTCGTATTTACCAAGTCTAATTAGCTAAAAGGGCCTTAAATAGACTCAACCTCTACTCGTTTGATGAGTCAAGCTCTAGCAAAACTTACGAGCATTTAGTTTTGTTTAACAATTAAGTCTTATCCCTTAATTTTTGTTTCTTATGTTTTGCCATGCATGCAGTTCAAATTCTGAATTAAGCAACTATATGAATAAATATCCCATTCCTATATCCTATATGTAACTCTATGTATGTCCACCGTGAAGCTTTATTACCTTTCTTATAAAGCTAATTATTAACAAATAAAAAGCAAAACTTCCATTTCCATTCACTCTATGTCTATAGCCATGGACCACGCTATGTGGTAGCTAATGACTTTTGTACTCTAACAGAACCAGAGTTAAATTTGTTTGTATTCTAGTTGTGTATTCTATATTAATTAGGTCTTATTTGTATATCAATTTTATGAACAAGTATACTCTAATAAAATGTCTCGTTAACATTTTTTAATGATTTGTTTATGATTGGAAGAACATATAGTTAACATCTATAAGATTGTATTTGAGATTCTTGTGTGCTCAGTAATGATTAGGTGTTGCTAACCCATGAATCAAATATAAACACTGCCCAATCATTTTTCACGTCTAAGGATAATAAGAAAATAAGCCAAACAGCAATAGTTTAAAATGGAGACCAATAGAAAGCTTTTGTAACCAACAACTCTTTTATTATTTTAAATGATAATGTGTCATAAGGAATGGAGATACATACGTGCATTGGATTAAGAGAGTCTTTTAGACAAAAAGTAAGAAAAAAAAAAAGTTTGATTGAAAAAAAAGGAAGTGGAAGGGGTTGACATTGTGGCTTGAATAAATATATATGTACATCCACAATAAGATGCTGAATAATAATTTGATAATTTAATGGGTAGGAGAGATTTTTTTTTTTTAAGAAATTTAAAAATGAAAAATTGCAAGCGCATCTACGAGGGAAGCTGTCATCATCAGATTGGAGTACAAAATAATAGAAGGTCAGGTCCCACAAAAGCCATAAATTGCATCCCTACCCCTATACTTTCCCAAAATCAAATGGGCAGTGAACCTTTGCAACTTTTTGGTTAATTGCCTCGGGAAGGCAAGCACGTCCACTCATACACATCCATCCCCCAACTCTGACATTCATAATAATAACCAGTGGGCCTTTTCTTCAAACCTAACATCCTTTTAACGGACTCCTTAACGCCGTTAGAGCCCACCCCTCATCTTTTTTTAAACAGAAAGAGTGGCTCGAGTTCATATCGACGCACTTGATACACAAATCGGACTTGGATCGACTCGTTAAGCACTAGAAAAGAAAAAAAAAATCTATATAAATTTTTTATTAATGTTGATAAATAAGCAAAATTCGAGTTTAATTATTGACTCATTTATTCAAAATTTTTTAAATTGAATGAATGCAGCTCGACTCAACTCGTTTATACACTCAACTACGGTTATATAAGAAGGTTGTTTCTGTTTAACGTTTCAAAGTGTCAATTAAGATTAATTCTATACGATTATTGAAAAAAAAAAAACTATTTGCTGAGAAGTTGTGTCATTGGCGTCTTAACAAAATAGTGAAATAAAATAGTTAAACCTGGTATTTTCCATTGAATTAACGTCATATATGTCCCTTTGGTTCCCATAATGCCTTGAAAATTGAAACATTTTTTATATTTAGCTTTTGCTCTTCAATTTTCAAACAGTATTTTCGCCAATTCGAGGGAACGGTTTCATTATTATATTTGTTTGCTAATTATAGAGATATTTTTCATGCACTGCTAGTAATTTACATATGCCATTTTTTCCCCTTAAACAAAAATAAATAAATTAATTGCTTCCCATATACATGCAAGACTAGACCCAACAAGATATTTCATATGATATTGGGCCTGGAGTAGAGCCCATCAGGCCCGTGAATTCAGGGTGAGCGATCAGTCCAAATTGAAGTGGTCCACCACGTGCTTACCCTCTTCATAATTTCTTCTCATAAATGTTTTTACTATTACGTATATTACTTTTTTTTTTTTATACTTTGTATTTGAATATGCAAGTGTGACTGTGTGAGTGTTAAATTTAAGAAATAGTATATTATATGAAATAGAAATATGAATAGGGGAATGTTTAGGGAAGAGAAGGAGGTGGCCCAAACATCACATGCAACGTACATAAATGGAACCAATCCATACAATATAACAAGATCTTTTGTTTTTATTTGCATAATTACCAGAAATCTCTTATAGCAATAATTTATATATTTAAATCACCTTCCGAAATTTGACTCCCAAAATAATTGATAATAATCCCTTGATCCCACGGTATTCTCTCTCTCTCTCTCTCTCCTTCTCTCTCTCATTTTCTTCTACAAGTTTATATGACGAGATTTTTTTTTTCGCGACTCCTCGACAACCTGCTGCCAGGGAGAAATCGAGTGTGCTGATGGTTCCGCAACTTCGCCAAGTCTTCATCACCGGCAGCTTCTCGAGCGCGATGATGGTGGACGAGCGACGATTTCCGACGATGGGGGAGATTCCCGATGGTGGACTCCATCGCCTTCTCCCCGTCTCATAATTATTGGCCTACCGAGGCGACGCCACCGAGTTACGACCATCGTCGTCGAGGAGGGAAAGGACCGACGCCGCTGTACATCAGCTTGAGGCCGCCGTTCGGCCACGACTGTTTATAGTCTGTATATCTTTCGTATATAGTTTGTATATCTTCCCGTATATAGTCTGTATATCACCCGTATAGTCGGTATTGCGAGGCTATTGTATTGCGAGATGGTTCATTTCATGATTTTTTATTTGCTTCATGAAAAATATCAAGTTTTTCCTACTATTCCCCATGTCTTTAATTTTCTCATGACATATACATTATTATTTGTAGATGTATATAAAAATATATATGTTATGTATATGTCATGTATATATCCGACATAAACGAAGACTGGGATAAAAAATGCCGACATAAAAATGTATATGTCATGTATATATCCGATTATATTACTTGTACATTGTACACAATCCCCATTGTTTTGTTCGATTTATTGTTCTTCAATTTACCTTTCTATTTTTTTTTCCTTTATTTTTTTATGGAAGGAATCCCTTAAGTCTTGGATCCTCCTAATTTTCTACCAGATATTCTCTCTCCAGGTAAGTATCCAGTCAGTTACGGGGATCTGTTATGACTTGATCTGTTGCTATTATATTGTACGTATATAAATAATTTGATTAAATTATGTGCAATTAAGTTTTATATTTGGTATATAGCAAATAAAAGCAATTCATTATCGAAAAAATGTAAATAGCCCAATTCTTTTTGCATGAAAGTAGTCCAAGTAGCAACTTTCCCCCATCACATGCTCATATTTAATGTCTCGTTTAACATTTCACTCTTACTTTATCCACCTGTCTATTTAATTACATTTGGGAGAAAAATAAGTTAAAGATTATGAAAGTATTCCCTCACATCTCCACTTTAAGGCTTACGATTAGCTTTGATTAATATAGAAGATGTTGCTAGTTGTTTAATTTCCTAACTTTATAATGGGTCTTGTTGTATGATAAATAGTGGTTAAAATTGTGAATAAAAATGAACAAGAGCAAAACAATTCCATAGATAGATAACTTATTGCTCACTTTTGTATTTGAATTTATATTTTATTCAAATTCTTTATATTTACAAGTTTTTCCTTTAAAATAATTTACAAACTAGTACTCGTCCATGTGCATTTGCACATATGTAAATAAAATTAAATATTATAAGTTATATTTATGTGTATAATATAAAAATTATAAATTATAATTGTATTATATTTCAAACATATATACTATTATAAGTTATATTTATGTATATAATATTAAAATTATAAATTATATAATAGTATTATATTTTAAAATTTGATCATTGGTTAAAATAAACAGTACACACGATTTGATTGTAGACGAATCACTATATTGATTGCATAAAATGTAATAAATATATATTTTTTATAATTTTGAGTGATCATGACCAATTAATTAGCTGAAAAATATTACATTTATTATAACAATTACTTATGTGATTTTAAGAAATTTTACTATGACATAAAAAATCTTAATTTATTTATAAAAAACCGCTTCATCATATAAAAAAATATCGATTTTAGTATAAAATATAATTTTATGTAACTTTAATATATTATCTAGTACAAAATATAATTACTAATTTTTAATATTAACTATTATATTATTCAATAAAAAATATAATTATTAATCAATTAACATAAAACATAATGGTTTTTGTCTTAATTAACCCAAAAAAATGTAATGAAATATTTTCTTATTAATGAGATTGGGTGTATTAATGCTACATAAATAAAATTTATTAGGTTCTATTTATTAAGTTTTATTAATGATTTGCCACATAGGTAAAATTTATTAAGTTTTATTTATTAGGTAAAATTTATTGCTTAGCTAGCAATTATATATATATAGATTACCATCAAGGTGCATTTCAACTTATAGGTAATTTGCTCGTGGATCAATACATACCGTGTGTAGATATGTGTGTACATTTTGATCCAACAGTAAAAAAAAAAAAAATAACATTGTTTACAGTTGGATCCACACACGACTTTGTGGATATTATGCATATTAATCTAAGGATAAAAAAAATTCAATGACTGCAATCCAATTAGGTTCTAACTCTCCTATCACTATCTTGTCAGAACAGCTTTGGCAGCCTACATTAAATTCAGTTGTCAAGCTGTTAATGTCCAGTGGTCATTTAAAATGTGCAATCAAAAATCCATTTATTTTGCGGTTTTTATTGCCTGAAAACAGGTTCCATCCTAATGTTTTGATCTGTACTCTTCTGACATAATAATCTTTGGAGATAGAAAGCCAAAAAAAGAAAAAAGAAAAAAGAATGACAAGGAAATTACAAGACAATCCTGTAATCCTATGAAAGTGCTTGTCCACAATTCATAAAACAATCCAACCAAACACAATTTGGTACTGTGAGAAGAAATAACCAAAAAAGAAAAAAGAAGCCAAAAAAAAAAGAGAAAAAAAAAAAAAATCAGTATATTACAGCATCTTACAGAGTATCTGAGTATGATTTGTATCATGGTGGTACAAGGCTGTTGAATATGCGCTTCAAGCTCGGGCATGATGCTCGTAACTTTACCATGCTTGATGTTGATATCTGCCAGAACAACAATAACATATATTAATTAATTAAGGTAATTTAAAAACTAATTAAGATTGACCTCAAATTAAGTTTTGTGTGTTTATGAAATTTCCTTACCACTTTTGGGCAGAAACGGATATCGAGCGTCTCAAGCATATTACAGTCCCTAGTGGCAGCTTCCATGGCATCCTCGCTTATGCTACAAGACTAGCAATAATCACCAAAATATATGAATATGAGTCTTAATCATAGATATAGAAGAGCAACTCATCATACTGAATAAAGAATGTCAAAGAAACGTACCTGAAGAAAAAGACTGCTCAATCTCGGACAGTGGAGCTTCAGAATCTTCAAGGAGTAGCAGTTGCTGAACAAAGATAAATGTTATCTATCAGTAATGAAATGCGATTATTTCGTCAAATACCAGATATAATAATTAATAGTTATTGGAAATCTTACAAAGTAACATAGATACCTCAAATTAAGTAGTAACAAATTGGGACACGACAAATCAACCTCCCTCAAGTTATAAGAAAGAGAGAGGTTTAAGGATGAGAGGTGGATGCATCCCGAATAAGGAGGAACAATCACTTTCTTGATATTCGAGCACCCGACACAGTTCAAGTTCTGAAGCAGCCGATTGGCTCCAGAAATTGTGGTCCAATCCAAGTCGTGCATGTTGATACAGCCATTCAAGCTGATGCGGCTCAAACGAGCACAGCAGGCTACCAATTCTTCTATTGCCGTCTGACAAAGAGAGTCGTAAGACAAGTCCAGTTCAGAGAGTGATGGGAGTGCATTGCCTTTGTACAGAGGCTTCAGTGATGTGTCACTAAGGTACTTGCAGGCTTGCAGTTTCAAAACCTACAAAAATCAATAATATACTCGAAAAATCACGCAAAATGTACACCGAGCAAATTTAAAGCGGTTTATCCGTTAGCAATTAAAGGGGTTTTTACAATTCTACAGCTAGCCTAGCTGGGTCTTTTATGTAATTAGCGCCAAACCTTTGAGGGTAAGATTCAAAATGTAAACGAGCGAGCAAAATTTACCTTCAAATACAAACACGAGTCATATACAGGCTGCAAATGAACCAAAAAGGTGTATGACAGATCAAGATAGGTCAAGCTCTGAAGAGAGCTCAGAGACGAAAGTCCATCAGGGCCCACAGAGTGACATTGCATAAGCACCAAAGACTCGATAATTGGGCAAGATAAAGTCGTGGCTGATAAGCAGTCATCCTTGAGTTGGCTGCACATGGCAACAAGCAGCAAAAGATAGAAGATGGAGATATTAATTAAGTAATAACTATTCGATCCATTATCGAATAAAATTTTAGACAGAATAGTTTACTTACCTGCAGAAAGATGCATCAAGGGATGTAAGAAGAGGGCAACCAATAAAAGCCTCAGATAATACACCGCATCCTTTCAATTCAAGTGACACCATCTCGGTGCTTTTAAGATGAAGTACGGTTAGTTTAGGACATATGCCCAGATTTAATGACTTCAGACCAACCTGCATTTATATGATGAAGAAAGAAAATGAGAAAAACAAACAAACAAAATTCAGATAATAATTATCAACGCAAAAATAATTCCTAATCAAAACATTTTAAAGGAATAATAAGAAAGGTTCCGGGCAGCAATATATTAACAAGCAGAGCAAACCCAAAAACTTAAGATGCGGATAAGGAATTAATTACAGGTGAAAATTTTGCTCTTTCGAGATGATCACAGCCATCTAACGATATATTCTTGAGATGCGGACAGTTGAGATCAAGAGAAGTCATTGCACGGCAACCACCAAGTGAAACGCTAACCAAAGACGTACTGCAGAAACTCATTTCTGTCAAACTCTGTGTACAAAGTGCAACAGCCACAATAAGATACATCAACAAAGACTGAAATTGAAGAAAATAAGTCTATATTCGATGAAAGATCATATAGCGTGTAATACAATTTACGAGTATGCCATGCATTCACAACAAATAATAAAAATTTTAATCTATATACAGATGTGTATGAATATATCTTATATATAAAAGAACACTGAATTGACAAACCTCGCAATTATCGAGAATCAATGATCTCAATGCAGGACAGCCGCCGCCAGTATTGAAAATTTCGCAAATGGAACTCTTCAAGGATTCACACTCACTGAGGTCTAATTCTTCCAAGCAAGGGGATTCCAATGATAACATGGTCAAACTTTCTTGCTTTTGCAAAACTAATTTCTGCAACAGTTTGAACAAAAACTTTTACTACAGAAAATTCAAGGAATATATACATATATGGAGAGCCGTAAATATATTGAAGGGATAGCATACACTAAGAACAGCCGATGCAATGTCGATCCTTTGGAGAGAAGGACAATTCGAAACTGTAATTGATGACAGCACACTGCTCCTTAAATTTAAATCTATCAATCTGCCGAAAACAGGAAATTAAAAAGCCACTCTCACTCAAAAGAGATTATATTATTACTTTGTTAGATTAGGACATACTTGCGGCAGTGTACAAGCCTTATTTTCTGTAGGCGTTGGAGATCCAAAGACACTGATGCCAATAAACTGCAATTATCAAGCTCAAGAACCTGAGAAATTTGAAAATCCCAAATGTAACTTATTGTAGGAAGATTATATATAATAGTAACAATTAATGAAATCTTGATTTTAAAGCAACACTGGAAAGTCTAACCTCTAACATTGAACTATGTCGTATAGCAGCCATTGAAGCTGAAGTAATTCCCTCACAGCTGTGAAGCTTGAGAACTTTCAACATTGGCAGTATCACAGACTACAAAAAGAAATCACTAGTTACACGACGCATCAATACACTGGTGATGTACCACTGCTAGACAACAATAAATTATTACTATTATTATTATTATTATTATTATTATTATTATTATTATTATTATTATTATTATTAACCACAGTCATCATTCTTACTTCAAGAGCAACATTTGGGCAGTATGAAGCATCGAGAAAACGAAGATTTCCAGTAGACATAGCTATTTCTCGTATTGTCTCATCAATGATGGACGAGCAATTTGACATATCCAACGATTCCAAGAGCGGGCACGAAGCTGCTGCTGCACGAATCGAGGTATCCAAGAGCTTGTGACAAGATGCTATATCGAGCTCCCGCAAAAGGGGGCAGCTGAGAATAGCATGTGGCATACTACTTCTCTTCAAAGACAAGATCTCAAGTTGGGGACACCTGGGGAAGAAAAAAGGATGGAATTTGTAATATCATGAAAGTTTTGAAATTAATTAAATTATGGAAATGGAGAAATTATTTACCTGATGGTAACACGAAAAATACGACACTTCACAATCTGAAGATCACGCAAGCTATCATGATCAACGGAAACATCCAGAGTGCCATTACACAAAGTAGCATCATTGATGGTCAAACTCCTCAACTTGCGGCAATCTGTGAGCACTTTAAAAAATTTCTCGCCTAGTTGGCTGTTGCCTAGGGTTAAGACCTCAAGATTTCTGGGAATAAACAAGGATCAGAAAACATTAATAAACAACCAAGTTCGGGCCTTTGGGAATCTTCTTTTTATTACTATTGCTAAAAGAAAGAAATATATTAATTACCTTAGTGAACGGATTGCTTTCATCCCAAGTTGATTGATAGCAGGAGTACCATAAAGATTAACTGCATTAGCATTTGGATATCGCCGACACATGTTCCAAACTGAAAACCAAACAACTAATCGAAGTCATTTTACCTATGGCATACAAAGAGTTGAACATGAAGCAATAAACGAATGATCCATAAGCCAAGAATAGTGGTACTGACACATAACTTATCAAACAAGCAATCAGCTATGGATCAAAATAGGTGCAGCACAATGTCACTTTGTACCCATTTTAGCAAGTCAATCCTTCAATTTTGTTTTGTACTCACTTAAGCAAGTTAACAATTGAATTCTATTTTATTTTTTCCAATCAAACATTTGGACATACACCATGCACCGTGCGAATCCATTTCAGGTAAACTAGTTCCTGTATTCTATTGCAAAATAGAGATCATATCTTATCAACGCCAGTTACGGTTATGCTGTCATACATAGTTTATCATAGTTCTGTGACATTAATCTATTCTTAGGGTAACTACTGACTAGAAGTTGATCTAGCAACAAAAGTGGTAGGGATTTACATCATTTGAGTGATTTAGAGTTCGATAATCAGAAACCGACTCACATTGATGTTCAGATATTGGTCGATTCTCAAAATTCAAGTAACGCCAAAAGTCTTCATGAGAACTTGCATCCCTCCATTGCCGACAAACACTTGCCACGGAGCAAAGGTCAATGTTGTCCAGGAATGAGAAAACCTGCAGCACATAACAAGGTTAAAAGTCCACCAGAAGTGCTAAATTGACGTGGTTTCGATTTTTCCATTATACATTACGTACCATATGCAGTAAGTCATCAGTAAGATCCATACGCATTTCTGAACAATCACCCAATTTTAATGGATCACTATTATTTCCACCATCACTTTCAGAAACACGCAGATCAGGCACATCCGTAACACCGATCTTCTCATTCACCGAGCCAGTGCAATGAATTCTATTCTCAAAATTGCTGCCCCAATACCTGAAAAATAAAATTAATAAATTATTAATAGGCTGGGTCAATACATCACACTCAAGAGAATAGTGACGGCTGGACAATAGAGTTCAACTCCAACTCCAACTCTATTTTCTATAATAGTTGCACCAAAATATCAAAAGATATTCACGAATCATTAGAACTTGTTCAGATGATGGCTCACAAGAAACGATGACAAACGGGGGAAACATTCAGCAATCAGCAGCCAAGAAAACAATTGGTTCATGCTAGTTAAGTTTTTCAGGAAACACTTTAAACTTGTTTTGAACATCAAGCAGGTTACACATCACAAACACAAAGTCTACTATGAAACTTTTGCACTGGACACCCACAAATGTTAGGGATCCCTCATTTCAGAAACTAAGTGCCACCAGTTGTGATAAACCAATTACCAGGACATCTCTTTCAAACAATCTAATTTACACAGACATGTATCTTAAGGAATTACTATAATTCAGAAAGATGGAGAACCCATACAAAGACACATCTACACACACGCATAGTTAAGAGAAAAACGAAAAGCAGGAGATCTTACAGAGGAAAAGATTGAATCTTGGGCCGTTTATTCTGCTCATACTCAAAAGTATCTCTTTCCATAGCAAGTGCTGTTGGCAGAGCCAATGATGATGATGATGATGATGAAGGCTCAAAACCCAAGCCCAAATTCAAGTCAACGTCTGGTTTCCGTTCCTGACATTTACTACCACCAACGGCAGCCCACCTTGCCTCCACCTTATTTACCCACTTCAAGAAATCTCCCTTCACTTCGCCTTCGCCACCAAGAGCAAATCCCTCATCACTATTCTTCCCATTTTCAATATCAAAATCAAGTGTCGTGATATTCCCCGTCCCATCAGATGCCTGTAAAGCTAACTCCCCACCAACCCCAATAACATTCTCGACATTTTCAGAAAGGCCTAACTCCATATCATCATTCTCCATCTCCTCACCCTTATTCCGATAAAGGTCCTTCTTTTAAAACACTTTCACCTTAATGTCTTGATTTGATTATCTTTACCTCAGAAGCATGCCAAAGAGGAGCCAACAGTAATTTCCATAATCTGCCGTCCCTCAAACAAAAATGGCTAAAGAAAAAAAAAAAACCCGGATTTTCAACAAACCAGGTTCGCGATCTCAGTAATTTCATCACGAACCCTTAACACGCACAACGAAACCCTAAAATCAAACACATGAAAGCACTCGCTATCCCATATTTCGCCAAACAAAAACAATTGCAGAACAGGCGCCGAATTCACTCGGTCGGACACAATAATGACGGAAATTCAGTAAAAAGGTGAAACCTTTAAATATATAGTTACAAAAAAAACCAAGAAAACGAGCTTATGCCTTGAAAAGCTGCATGAAGTAAAAAACGGATCGGATGAGATGAGATTAGAGCAGCGGAGCAGCTCTCATGGGTGGTTCTTCCTCGTACAAAATCGATAATTTTTATTTTTTTTTCCTTTTTCTATTTATCTTCTCTCCTCTGCTCACTGTCGCTCTCGAGACTAGACTCAGTAGACAGTCTTCTGCCAAAAAAATAGGACATTTTTAATTTTTTTTATCATTCGGGTGGAAAATCGAAATACGTGGAAACTTTTTAATTTTAATTTTTTTTTTTTGGGCTTTTACCAGTCAATCGGGCTTTGTGCAATAGAATTGCCAAAGCCCATTATTGGACTGCGTGTAGTGACAGTAGTTGGGCCTGAAACTTTGGGCCCAGATCTGTAAGCATGATGATAGTAATTAATTAATTATCTATATATATTGAAAAAGAGAGGTTAATAAATCATTTGTGGAAACTTTTAAAAAATTGGTCAACAACACCATTGACTTCCCATTTGTGGAAACCAATTAAAAAAATTCAAAAACTATTTATTTTTTTATTTTCTTTTTATCTTAAATCATTCCAAAACAGAATACTGGAATCATTTCAATATAAACAATTTGGTCGGATTTTCTTTCCAATTATTTAGGAAACCACCGGATTTTTTCAACTATGAAATCATAGGAATCCCAATTTTTAAGGTAACAAATTTGGAGATTTTTTTGGATATATTCCAACTTATCTTAACATCCATACAATTACATTACTGATATATTTTTGCATATACACGGGGAAATATTCAACTTAAATGAATAAAATATCTCGTGTAGATAGTTACGAAAAAATATCTCGTGTAGATTGATATTCAACTTAAATACCCATAAAAAAATTACTCATAAGTTGGCATGAGTACTAAATATTTAATACATGTATTAAGTACCCGTAATAAATGAAAATGCCAACTTTTCATGAATTAAGTACCCGTACATGGGTATTTTAATTTTATTTCTTATTCATGTATTTAGTAATGAAATACATGTATTACCCATGTACTGGTACATTAAATTAAGTTAAATAATTTGAATTAAGTACCCGTACATAGGTATTTAAGTTACGAAAAATGTTATTGAATGTCATTTTTTCAACGAATGAATTGATATTACATTACTTCAATAACATTTTTTTGACAATTGAATTCAACTTAAGGCATTTTGTCTTTTCATTAATTATTAATTAGGAAACGAGAGATTAATAGGTACTACATTGGTGTTTTTATAAAAAAAAATTGATTGTCCAACAAAAAGTGAAAAAAGATAAAATTCTTATGTGAATTAAAAAACTATATATATAGTTTTGTGAAGTATTCTTTATTTTATTGAATATATATTTATTTTTATTAAAATTAAATAGATTAATTGATTTATTCGACAATTAATAACGCCCGTGAATATCAACTTTTAAGTAAGGGTACTTAAAAGTTGGTATTTAGTGCGGGTACTTAAAAGTTGGTATTTTGTGCGGGTACTTAAAAGTTGGTATTTAGTACGGGTACTTAAAAGTTGGTATTTATTACCCATGTACGGGTATTAAATACCCATAAAATTTCTGATAAGTTGGCATTTTCATTTAAGTTACGAAAAATAGTTAATGATATTTTAAATATTTCACTTAAATGAATTAACATTTTCAGTATGTCATACTGAAATTGTACCCGTACATTTATAAATATTTTTGCGATATACCCGTACATGGGTATTAACATTTTTCGTAACCATGTTGATATATTTATATCAGTATAAATATCATTTACTGATATATTTTTGCGATATACCTGTACAAAAATGACATATATTATTCAATTTTTCGTAACAATTATTTAAGTACCCGTGTAATATTAAACATTCATGTTAATATAAATTTTTAATTACTATTACTATAATTAAATTGATATAAAATAATAATAATAATAATAACAACAACAACAACAACAACAACAACAATAACAATAATAATAATAATAATAATAATAATAATAATAATAATAATAATAATAATAATAATAATAAACATCTGCTTATTATAAATTCAAAAATTAAATCTACATATGTAAGACATCACAAATAGTTTGAAATTCTCCTTTTAATTTAAAGGCAAAGATACCCAGATATATAGATACCCTAATTTTGTTTTCTTTTATATTGTTAAATATAAAATTCAACACACATTGGGTAGAACCAAATTTGCCAAAAAATTTGATGATGATTTCAAAAGATAAATACACGGAAATCGTGGTTCCAAACTCTGTCGATATGATACACCATTATATAAATTCGTTTAGTTTACATTATTCATTTAATTTAGATCAATATTAACCCTAATATATAGATACCATAATTGCATGTTGTTTAATATTCTAAAATATTCAACACGTTTTCATCCTAAGCAGATTTAACGCAAAATTAGAGAAAGATTCTACAAGATAAATACAAACGTACAATTCCACAAGATAAATACAACATTAGAGAACGGTTCTACAAGATCTCTACACGTTTTAAATAAAAAAACCGATGAGAATGGTAAAGATTTGTATCACTGCTATATCATTCGGTTTACTATTGTCCAAATCATGTAGAGATTTTTTTGTTTCTGTTATCTCGATTTTTTTGCGTCTTTTATGATGAGAAGCTTATTATCTTTTGAAATCACCATACGCCTAAACAAACGCATTCTGGAATATTTACCATATTATTTAGTATTTTTACTTTTTACTTTAATAATATTAAGCAAACATTTTTTATGTCACACGATTTTGTGTTATAAATACCCAAGCAAACATTTTTTATGTCACATTATAATTTTGTATATATATATATATATATATAAATATATAAAATAAGAATTGTCTTACATCATTTTTAGCAATCTTTTCCCGCCATTATCATTAAATACACCCTATTTATAGTAATTCTTTATAGAAAAATATCGCAACATTAGATGTTACTTCTTTATACAATTTAGTGTTTTTAATATTTTAAACATACATGTTTAATGTTCTTTTAAACAAGATAAAAAACTATAAAAATATTAGTGAATTTTATTTAGCTAATCAAGTATAATCGATATTAAAATGATAAACTAACAATTCATTTGTCGAACTGCCATATAAATTATATATCATATTATAAATAGATCCATCTTAGACTTCTTCGACACCAATTCCTTCTGATTTTGGGGTTCCATTTAACAGTCAAGGTCAGTCTTTTGGTATACAAAAAATATAAAAATATTAGTTAATATTATTTAACTAATCAAGTAATCGATATTAAAATGATAAACTAATAGCTCATTTGTCTGATTGCCTAAGTAAATTATCATATTATAAATAGATCCATCTTAGGATTCCATTTAAGTTGCAGGAGCACCAGTTACTTCTAATCTTAGGGTTCCATTTAAGAGTCAGGGTCAGTCTTTATGTGCGTTGGCATATTATTAAAGAAATCGGTTCTTAGCCACGACCAATTATATACTGTTGTTTTACGTGTAAGTAATAGATAAGAGTTGTGCATTGACATGTTCTTAAAAAAATCGGTTTTGATCACGACCAATTATATGTTGATGTTACGCGTGTAAGTATTAGATAAAGAAGAGTCAATGTCAGCCTTTAATAGATAAAGAAGAGTCAAGGTCGGCCTTTACTGTACGTTGACATGTTCTTAAATAAATCGATTTTTAGTCACAGACAATTATGTTGTTTGTTTCACGTGAAAGTAATAGAAAATGGTTGAAAATATTAGTTTGTGGGGACGACGAGTTGCTCAGTTATTAAACAAATAGTTGTCCCCAGTTATTAAACAAATAATATTGTGTACAAGAAAGTTTTTAATATATAGTTTTTTATGAGGATAATTTTATTATTTGACAATTTCCCTACAAATTATCTCTCTTTTATTTATTAATACATTTCAATTTTTAATATTCCCTAAATTAATACAGCCCGTGCATCGCACGGGTTACATACTAGTTTGCAGAAATGACAAATACCAAAAAAAATTGTTAGTTTGATAACTTATTTTGTGTTTATTTCATTACGAAAAAACCAATATTTAATAGAAAAATAATAATTTTACAATGATAAGTTGTATGTTTTTTTAATAACAGCTTAAGGAATTTGGAAAAACTAATTATTATATTGAATTAAGGTATTATAAGACATATCTATTTCACTAGTACTAGAGTTGTTAATTCCATCAAATGATTAAGACAGATGTCCAAAACATGTTGTGGAAATGATTATGACAAAATAGAGTCAATTTGGATAACCTCATACCTGCATGACATCAATGTCACAATGTGAAGAAATTAAATTGTGTGTTGTTGGAGGCCACAATTCTCCCCAAATTAAAAGCCATTTTTATTAGGTGGCCGACAATTTGTTTTTATTTCTTCGAATATGTTTCATGTAGCATTAGTAGGTGGGGGCCTAGATGTGCAGTTTGTCCTTTGGTACCAACACATTCTACTGCTCAATTTTTGAATTAATGGCATTTTTTTCGGTCTTTTCTATAATTATCATCTGTTAATTAGGGTCAAAGGGTTGACCACGACCCAAGCACGCTATTTTTAATTCATAACTTTTTTTT